GTTAATATTGTTAATATTGTTAATGTTAATATTGTTGCTAAGCTTTGTTGTGCTAGGTCCCTGTGGTGATGGATGAATATCCAAATAATGATTCACTTTTTAATACTCTAACTATCCATATGCAAGTTATTCTTATGGTCTTCAGCAAGTACCCCAGCTTTCTGATAATTCATTTCTAAGATGTTTTCTGTGCAGTAATTTGAAAACTGAACCATTGGTCTGTGTGGGCCCATATTTGTCCAAGAGAGCAGTATAACATCATCTGCGTATAACAGGACTGTACTTTCTTTCTTAACCGATGTTGGAAGATTATTTTCAGGAGCATGTAGATTGAGATGGAGATCATTTTTATGTAAAATAAACAACTGTGATGTGCCCATTGATAACAGCTGTTGTGCTAAGTAAACATGGTGATCATGTATCAGTTCCATAATGATTTTCAGTTGCCAGGATACTGCATGTAGTTTGAAGTTATTATCATGTTCTGAGACGGACAGTTTGATTTTAAGGGACAACAAAATACCAGTAGTGTGTCTCTTAATAATTTTAAAAAATCTTCACTGAATTAAATTCTTGGCCAGCTAATGTGAGCTGTAGTTGTACATATGACATTCTGTACAGTGGAGTCTCGACTTACGAACTTAATCCGTATTGGGAGGCGGTTTATAGGTCAAAAAGTTCGTAGGTTGAATTTGCATTTCCCATAGGAATGCACTGAAAACCATTTAATCCGTATCTGCTCTTTTCTGTCCATAGGAACTAATGGGAAACTAATGGGAAGCTGCTATTCCGCCTTCTGCCACTAGAGGGGGATATTTTTTCTTTTTTTCCTTAGGTCAAGAAAAGTTCAGGAAAGGAGGGGGGAGGCAGGGAACAGTTTTAAAAGCGCTTCTGAAATCTTTTTTTTCAACGAAGCCAATTTTAAAGCATGTTTTAAAGCATGTTGTGCTGATTTTTTCAGCCCAAAGACACACAGGCAGGAGTCTGGAACTCACATCTCAGCCTTTTTAGGTGCTGAGCAAGCCTCCCCAAGCCTCTTCAGAGCCAGCCGATCAGCTGTTAGGCGGGGAGAGGAGGGGGCAGGAGCGGAGAAAAGCACAAAATGGCTGCCAGGCTCCCTGCTGGGTGCCAGCTTTTGGCTTTTTCCTCTTCTTTTTCCTATAGTTCGGGGGCTACCAAGGCCTGGTAAGTGACTTTCTTTTGTTTATTTTTAAGTTTCTGACCCTTTTTTCCCCTCCAGAAGGCCTCTAAGGGGAGGGTGGGGGCACTTTTTTCCTGTTCGTAACTCGAGGGAAGTTCGTATGTCAAGTTGTTATTTCCCTATCGGGCGGGTTCGTAAGTTGAAAAGTTCGTATGTAGAACCATTCGTAAGTCGAGACCCCACTGTATTAGGTTGTGATACCTGAAGAAAAATACCATTTCTGTGTGCAAGTAATTTTAGAAGCAAAGGATGGGTCATTTAGATGTGTTAAATTGATGTCTAAGGTCAGTGGGCTGGAAAAAGATATGCTTACCAGTTTAACTATTTAATTAAAATCTTTTTGATTCTTAATTTACTAATTCTTCTGTGAAATCCCAGGTTTCTTTGAGAGGGGACATAAGAACTGTTCCTCAAATGTTTATTTTTGCATCTGTTTAGTTGTAACAGATCAGTTCCTAAGTTATTTGTTTAGAGGTAAATCCAAATGCAGTGAGTCTTCCTTATGAAAAAGTCTGTATAGTTTCTCTCTAGCACTGTGGTTGGTAGAAGTAAGCTCTGTTGAATACAGAGAAACTTGATTTCTGACTAAACATGCAATAGGACTGTATTGTAAATCAGCTGAGAGATTTTCTCCAGTTATGTGTAACAGAATATTTTATACGGATAAGATTTTTATACAGTTCCATATCTTTATCAAAGGCTTTAAGTATACTTTTCAGATATAGTACAGCATGCTATAGTTGGAAGTGGAGAATAGAAATCTGAAAATATTGTAGATCTCTATGTGTCAGTACTATTTCCTTTCTGAAGTTAAAAGCTTTTAAAAGTAAGATTAGATATTAATTGTGATCTTCTGGATATCAATCTGCAGAACTGCTTCTTGAGGATTAAAGTATGGCTTTTTGCACGAGAAAACTATTTCACAAGTTTCTCATAGGTTTTTGTTTTGGTGGGGATGCAGGAAAATCATGGCTCAGAAGAAATCCTCCAGAAAGATTGTTAATTGAAAAAGAATGTAGATGTAAATCTTTTTTTTGTTATTGATACATTCTCTGTATTTTTTTTGTTTCTTTGTTTAATAAGTTATAGAGAGGATATACATTTATTCAGCTGGCTGGATAGCTCACTGAGTTGGATCTCAGGTATCAGAGCTAGGAGTTCAATTCCTCAGGGAGCCTTCTGGGAGAACAGCCATACGTTGTGGTCTTCCGTAAGCTGTTGTGTCCCAGAACACCCCCAGGGGAAGGGACTGATTAACCTCTCCTGAGTACTGTACTCATATACCTGGAGAACCCTGGAAAGTTTCAACATACTGTATGTGGGAATGGACTTGACAACACATGATTAGTATTACAGTGGTGCCCCGCATAGCGATGATAATCCGTTCCAAAAAAATTGTCGCTATCCGGATTCGTCGCTATACGGGGCAAAAAACCCCTTAGGAATGCATTAAAACACGTTTAATGTGTTCCTATGGGCTGTAAACTCACCGCTATGCAGAAATCCTCCATGCAGCTGCCATTTTCGCTGCCCGGTAAGCGAGTAAAGGGCGTGAAAACTCTGCAGGCGGCCATTTTTTCCGGCGGCCATTTTGGAACCGCCTATCAGCTGTTCCCAAAACATTGCTATGCAAAAATCGGTAAGCGTTTCATTGCAAAGCGATATTTAGCCATTGAGAACATCGCAATGCGATTGCTTTTGTGATCGCAAAAAACGCGTCGCTATGCGGATTCGTCGTTAACTGAGGCACTCGCTATGCAGGGCACCACTGTATATGCATTTGTTCAATATTGGAAGAATATGAGCTGAATGTTTTTATTTGTATTAGGAGAAAATAGATTATTTTTAAGGCTTCAGTATATGGTGAGCTGAATTTTTTTATTTGTATTAGGAGAAAATTAATAGATTATTTTTAAGGCTTCAGTATATGCAACTGCTGCTGACTGGATAGCTTAATGAGTTAGGCATTGGGAGTTTGATTCCCCATTGCGCCTCTTGTGAGAAGAGCCAGCTTGTGTGGCCTTGGTGTTTCAGAGGGAACAATGAGCCACTTCTGAGTATCCAATACCTAGAAAACCCTGGAAAAGGAAACAATAAGTCAGAATCAACTTAAGAGCATATACTTATTATTATGTTACTGTCATTATAGAAAAATCTGGGAGGCACAGAGAAAGTGTGTTGACTTCTTGTAAATGCTGTCAACATGTAGAAAATGTTTATTGGGTTACAGTTGGTGGTTTAAATGTGGTAATGTTTCTTCAGAGTGGTTTAGAAAACTGTTGAGAACCTTTGAGAACTTTTTCTTTTGGGGCTTTCTTATATAAATTCATTGAGGACTAGATGAGTTACACTCCATCTTTATGCACAGGGCTGTATTGAATCAGATGACCTTGTTACTGGAGTGGAAATACAATGTCTTATGCAACAAACTCTGCACTGATGGAGGCAGAACGAAGCAAGTTTGCAAGTATACTCCTGAATAGTATTCACTGTCAGAATAAGTGTGTCCTAACTGTAGACAGTGTTTTAAAATGTAATTACTGTATATTGCAAAATATAAAAGAATGAAATATTTTCAGTCACTTGTTGAATATTTGATTTAACTTTGAAGTGGATGAATATAAAACTTCATTATGTAAATTTAAATACTACAAATAGTCTCATAATTCTTTCTCATGTAGGATAAGACTTTTGGTTTAAAGAATAAAAAAGGAGCAAAACAACAGAAGTTTATTAAGGCTGTAACCCACCAAGTTAAGTTTGGCCAGCAAAACCCACGGCAGGTAAGGAAATGCTTATCTGGCTTTGCTTTTACACTCTTTGCATATGTCATGATGCATCTGCATATTTGAAAAAGGCATTTTAGCTCCAAGTCTTGTATGTTTTTCTTTACTGAATAAATTATATGGCCAAGGGATGATGCCAGTTATTGGCAAGCATGATGCTTTAGCTTGCCCTTTTATGTTCGATCCAATTGGATAGCTTGTTTCTAGGCCCAGGGAGAATGTTCTGCTAAAAGAAACAAATATGTACAGTACCATGTTACTAATTGTCAGTAACAATTGTAGCTTGTTGCTGAGAATATGTTTAGTTAAAATATGTCTGTTCACACAACTAAAAATTATTCAAAAATCCACATAATTGCAGTACTTGTTTTGGGCCAAGCAAAATGTCACAACACCAGCTTTCGGTCTTCAAGCACTCATTATCAAGCTAAATGGTAAACTGGAAGAGTGCTAGCTGGTGGTGAAACCATGGACCCTTTTAGTTACACTCTTGCAGCACAGAAATCAAGAAAATGTAGTAGATATTGCATAGAACAGTAGTCCACAACCTTTTTGGGGCTGCGGACTGGCTGGGGGGAGTGAGCTCTATGTGCAGTGGGGTGTTGCGATCGCGTGGGGGCATACCGCACTCGCGTGCATGCATGTGAACGTGACACGCCCGTGCACAAGTGTGACACGCCCAGTGTGCGAGCATGACACGCCCACTGTGCATGCAGGGGAGCGGCCCAGTTCTAGCAAGCCCACGGACCAGTGGTTGACGACCCTGGCATAGAGGGCTACAGTCAATGCTTCAGTAGTTAGATAACATTTAGAACTTTTTCAATTACTACTGGCCTGGCAAAATAAACAGTGTTTGAACAGTTATTTTTAGAAATAAAAGAGTGCTAGCTGGTGCTGAAACCATGGACCCTTTGCTTTTAGTTACACTCTTGCAGCACAGAAAACAGGAAAATGTAGTAGATATTGCATAGAACAACAGTCCACAACCTTTTGGGGGCTGCGGACTGGCTGGGGGGGTGAGCTCTATGCGCGGGGGATGTTGCGATCACGTGGGGGCATGCCGCACTCGTGTGCATGCATGTGAATGTGACACCCCCCCACGCAAGTGTGACATGCCCCCGTGCGAGCATGACACACCCACCGTGCATGCAGGGGGGGCGGAGATCCGTATCCCAGTTCTAGCAAGCCCACGGACCAGGGGTTGACGACCCTGGCATAGAGGGCTACACGCGGGGGATGTTGCGATCACGTGGGGGCATGCCGCACTCGTGTGCATGCATGTGAATGTGACACCCCCCCACGCAAGTGTGACATGCCCCCGTGCGAGCATGACACACCCACCGTGCATGCAGGGGGGGCGGAGATCCGTATCCCAGTTCTAGCAAGCCCACGGACCAGGGGTTGACGACCCTGGCATAGAGGGCTACAGTCAATGCTTCAGTAGTTAGATAACATTTAGAACATTTTCAGTTACTACTGGGATAATCAAATAAACAGTGTTTGAACAGTTATTTTTAGAAATTCAAAACCCACCCATCACCCATATTTGTCTTGAATCTGAGAGGAAGCACAGGGGTGATAGGTGAAAAAGAAGTGCAGCAGAGTTGGCAGTTCTTGTGTGGACAAAGTGAGCATAGATAATTTTAGGTGGCCTAAAATTATGAAGTACTGGCGGAGATTTTCTATTTTTACTCCCCTCCCATCACCTGTCCCGGGACTCCCAAAGGCAAAAGGTTCCTAGGGAGCCTTGGAACCTGAAGAGGTGATAGTAGAGTTTTAAATTCAAATTAAGAATTTCCATTGCTGTTTAATGGCATCATCTAGGTTGCACCCCATAAACTTACAGTAACAGGATTTCAGCCACCATGTTGTAAACTCTCCGCCTACCTATTTTGCCCAGGAGTGAAGGAGTGAATGAACCTATTTCACTCACTCCTTCACTCTCTAAGTTAAAGAAAGTTGCATCATTATTTGAAAGGGAGTTATTTGTGAACCCTCTACTATAATTAACTGTGACATCAAAACAAGCCAGCTTCATGAACTAAAGGGTGGAGATGGGTTGTGTCAATAAAGCGTAGTTAATAGTTGCCACAGTTAATCCACAAATGTATGGAATGACAAATGGTGGCTAGTTAAAAATGTTGAGTGAGGGGCTTCCAGGTTCCTCTTTCCAGCCATGCTAAAGGTGGAAATGGATGGAGAAGTATGGAAGCTTAAGGTTTACATGCAGCTGTTTTCATAAGAGTAATACGTGAGTTATTGTTTTAATTGATTAAGGACATTCTGAGAATTTTATAGATTCAATTTATAAAATGTTGCACCTTAGCAGTGATAATATGCTGTTTTGCACTGTTATTTTGCAATTAGCCATTATTAATTATTATATCTGTTCTTATAGGCTGCTCTAGCAGATGGCGACAAGAAATTCAAGAAAGATGATAAGAAAAAAGAACTACAGGAGCTAAATGAGCTTTTCAAACCTGTGGTTGCTGCACAGAAAATAAGTAAAGGTTAGCTTCCTTTGGCTGACTTGTCTTGTGTCTCTGAGATCTGCTTTTAATTGTTCTTGAATAATATTAAATGAGTTTAATGTAAATATATTACAGGTGCCGATCCAAAATCTGTAGTCTGTGCTTTCTTCAAGCAAGGGCAGTGCACAAAAGGAGATAAATGCAAGTTTTCTCATGACCTCTCTCTGGAGAGAAAGTGCGAAAAGAGAAGCGTTTACATTGATGCAAGAGATGAAGAACTTGAAAAAGGTAGATTTTATCTTGGAACAGAAGTAGAATCTTTGGTTCTGATGTGGCTTTAAGTGCACGTCGTGAATTTATAGATTTTTCAAAAAAAGTTGTGATTTCTACACTGTTAAATGGCCACCCCAACCCAACATAGACCCTCCCTTGGGTTTAACAATTTTCCGGTGTGGCTGTGAGGAAACAGAAAGTAACAGGGTCTTTCTTCACTTAGAATATTACATTTGAACTCAGGCAAATTGCAAGTAGTTTTGAATATGATTTCCTCATGTAAGCCAGTTTCAAGCCATGAAGATGGCTTGTATCATTAAACGTTTCTTAAACCTAACTCTGTAGCTTCCCCATATTTTAACACAAAGGTAATTTTCAGATAATTGGGGGGGGGGGTGAAATCCCCTGCTGTTCTCCCAGCTGCACCTGGAGAGTAGTTGGAAAAACAAATGAACTCAAGACCCGCTCAGGCTCTTTCATGTAACGCTAAAAATTATGTACATGAAAATAAGTTACTCTATTATATTTATGAATTAATTAGCCCAAAACTTATCCAGATGTGGAAAACGACATTATAAATACCCATCTTTACAATCCTACCTCTCTAACTCTGAGGCATTGGGCATATTAATATTTGCCTTATTTTATACAAGTTTTTGTGTTCAAAGTTGCCCTTCAGTTGTAATCTTTATCTCACACAACTTTTGAGGTAGGTCACCAGATTTAATATACTATTGAGAAAGCTGCAATGTAAGTAACTTAAGTGTGTCCAAAGTAAGATTTTAATTCAGATTCCCTTGTCACCAAGTCCAGTGGTATTAACTGTTGGCTCTTACAACTGAAATCTTTTATGCAAGAAGGCTCGGCTAAACACACTTGGGCTTAATTCTGACAAAAAATATGCTTTAAAATTAAATGACTTTGCTACAAGCTTTATCGGCAAGGTGGCCATTTGAAGAAGTTTGGAAAAAGATGGTGTCATGTGCACAAAACTGAAAAACATGAAAAAACCTTGCATCTGCCATAATGTAGCTACATAACATAAATTTCAGTATTGTTGTGTGATTACCAGATTCTGTTTTTGGTGGTTAACATTTGTAATCCAATAGATTTTAGTAATTATTGCCGTTTCATACTAATATTTTTGACCCTTCACCCTGACTTCTTTTGTTGCATTGACTTCTTTTGGCTTTGCCCTCTTTATTGTGTAAAACAACAAAAAGCAAGTCCAGTGGATGGCTGGTTATTTGTTTGTATGTATGTTCATTTATAGCAGAGAGGTTGGTAGTGGGACTGAGGAAGCTAAATGTTTTTCTGCCTGCCTAGTAAAATGTTTTGCTTTTTTGTCTAGACACAATGGATAATTGGGATGAGAAGAAGTTGGAAGAGGTTGTGAACAAGAAACATGGTGAAGCTGAAAAGAAAAAACCCAAAACCCAAATAGTATGTCTGTTTCTTACGCCGCGTTGCAGGATCTAGCTAAGATCTTAGCCAGAATCCAGTGGTGCACTTCCATGAGTAGAAGCAGCAGCAGCAGCTCAGCTCACCTCCCTCTTTTGGCCCCCTTTGGCCCCTACAAACTGAACAAGAACACTTTCTGAGTGTGTTTGCGATTCCCAGTCTTACCACAGGCTGACCGTTGCATCTCGCCCCTTGTCATGACTTCATATACAGACTATGCTTTGGTAGGGGGAAAGTAGTTTATAAAATGATTGCACTGATAGCCTGTGTATTTAAATCATGGCTGCGGTGAAGAACTCTACAGTCACACACGAATTATTAACTACTTGTATGGAAGAAGCTAAACTAAGACCTTCAGGATTTGGACGTAAGGTGTTTAACTGCACAAAATAGTTCAGGGATCACTTAGTGATGGTAGACAAACCTAACGGGCTAAATCAAATTGTTAGATTCTGCTGGAGTAGAGCCACTGATGGAATGGGGTTTAAGTCAGAACTTGTATACGTCTTTAACAGTTCTGTAAGATCTGCTCTAGTTGGGGCAAGCAGTTAGATTTAGCCCATGAAGATGCAGTGAATACTAATGACATCCAATTTGTAGAATGAGATTAGTGTAGATTGCCTTGTGCAGTTGTACATTTAATATGTGATGTGATTTACATCTCTTATGATGAAATAGCTGTTGTAATTTGAAATGAGTGCAGAAAGATTGAAACATGATAGTAATTACATATATTTTATTTAAATAGTTCATGGAAACAATAACAACTTGCATGTATAAGTATAGTTTTTAGAAATGTAAATGAAAACTGACCTTCTGATCATAAACTACAATGAGTTGCTTACCACACCCAGTGTGTTGCACACATTCAGTGAAATTTTGCCCTTTTGAAATGCAGCCCCCCCAAATACAATTTGTGAAACTCCTTGGACATTGCCATATAAGGAGGAAGATGAAGGAGGCTGCTATTTTAAAACAGAAGTCCATATCAAATCTTGCTTCACAGACTCAGTTTGTCTAAATGTTTTGTTTCCATAAGGGACACTTAACCTGTTCTGAATATTGCATCATGGAACTAGCATTGTCACACTTAAGTACTGTCCAGCCAAAATCCTGTTGTACAGTGGTGCCTCACTTGACGATAATCCGTTCCAGGAAAATCGCCATTAAGCGAAAACATCATAAAGTGAAATAACCCCTATTGAAACGCATTGAACCCCATTCAGTGTGTTCCAATGGGGTAAAAACTCACCATCCAGTGAAGATCCTCCATACAGCGGCCATTTTTGCTGCCTGTATAGCGAGGAATCCGTCCCTAAACACAGCAGGGAGCCATTTTAATTACCCGGTGGCCATTTTGAAACTGCCGATCAGCTGTTAGAAAAACATTGTTTTGCAAAGAATCAGTTCCCAAAGCAGGGAACCAATCATCACAAAGCAAAATTCCCCCATTTAGACCATCGTTTTGCGATCGCAAAAAGATTGTTGTAAAGCGGATTCATCGTAATGCGGGGCAGTCGTAAAGCGAGGCACCACTGTATAAGTTAGTGGTGATGATGTCATCAGCAAGGAGAGATTTTCAGTAATTAAATAATTCCTGTTTCTACCCTGTGGCTTGTCTGATGCGTGTAATAAATTGCACGAGAGTTCTAGGAAAGGAGGAGGAATTCTTTAATTACTGGAAATCTCCCTGTTCATGATGTTATCATCCTCTTGCAGGCATAACTTATGCAACATCGGGTATTTTTTTTTTAATGGAAACAACTTCTAATTACTTGTACCAATCTAAATGGAGAATGAATTCACATAGTGCTGTAATTTCTTAAACTTTTGTGGCCTTTAACTTCATATTTGCAATTTAAATTGTTTTGTCCTATTAAAATGCATTGGGTGTGCTTTTATTCGACAGGATAGATTTTTTTTCTCGGTCTGCTTTGGCACGTTTTGCCACAGGCAAATGTTGGCTTATTTTAGATGCAGTAGTCAGAAATTAAGAAAATGTAATTATGTGCATAAAGTGGAGGATTGGAAAACAGAATTAACTGCTGACAATATTTAATGCAGGTCTGCAAGTACTTCCTTGATGCTATTGAAAACAATAAATACGGATGGTTTTGGGTCTGTCCTGGTGGAGGAGACAACTGTATGTACCGCCATGCACTCCCTCCTGGCTTTGTACTCAAAAAGGACAAAAAGAAGGAAGAAAAGGAGGAAGAAATTTCTTTAGAAGATCTAATAGAGAAAGAGGTAAGGCTACAATTGCTTGCATACAGGTTCACAATTTTTTTAATCCTGTGGACCGGCGGGGAGGGGACGATTTAAATTTTTAAAAAATAGTTAAATAGTAAAAAAAATTTTTTTGATAATTTAAATTTTAAAAATGATTTTAATGTAAATCATTATTTAAATCAATTTGCCTTTTTTAAATCATTGATTTTTTTAAAAAATTGTGTCTTTTAAAAAAAATTGGGTTTTTTTCAATACATGGTTTTTAAAAATATATATATTTTTATCCACCTTGCTGAGGACCATGTGTGATTCTGATTCAGGACATGGCCATGCGCACTAGAGATCCTCTTTCCACACTGACAGTGGAACCCCTTTTCTCTGCCTTTCCCTCCAACCCTGTTTTAAATAACTGTTTCCTTGGTGGTAGTCGCCTAAGCAAATGAGCAATCTGTATGAAGGTCAGAAGGTTTTTGTATCAGGGAGGTCCAGGCATCAGTGGATGTCTGCATTGAAGACCTGAGGGGTTCTTTAAAGTGTCTCTTACATGTAAAGAAGGAAGAATGCAGGTGTACCAGAAGCTGTTGTAGCAATAAGAGATAATTTATTTAATAGAGTTTCTATACAGGAGGAACTTACCGTATTTTTCCATGTATAAAATGACACTTCTTCGTAAAGTCATTAGAGGAAAAAATTGAGGGTCGTTTTATACACCGAAGGAGGCAAAGGCAGAGGAGCAGCTACACTCTGCTGCCTCTTGCAATGGCCCATTGACTGCTGCTGCTGAATCACCTCCTCCAGTGCCACTTGCGGGCTCCCTTCAGGCAGGTGACAAGGCGGTGGCATGAGCTGGAGGTGAGCCCCGCGAGTGGCGCCGGAGGAGGTGATCAGGCAGCGGCGGCAGCAGTCAATGGGCAGCCAGTGATCGGGCAGCGGTGGCGGCAGTCAATGGGCAGCCGTGAGAGGTGGCCAAGCGCAGCTGCTCCTTTGTCTCCGCCTCCGGAAAAGGGTCAAAATTGGGGGTTGTTTTATACATTGGGGGGTGTTACACATGGAAAAATATGGTAATACAGACAAAAACAGTTTTCGCTGTAAGTTACTATTTCAAATATCGGAGTGGATTTGTAGGAACACAGCAGATCATCGTAGACCTATTCATAATCCAGTGGGCAAGTATTTAAAAAAAAACTTTGCAATCTCTAATGCCAGGGTTGAAAAGGAATATGAAATTCCTATCTCTAGAGGGCACCCAAGTGTAATGGAAGAAATTAACTTTTAATATATTATAAACTAAATATTGCCGATCCTCAAGGAATTGGCTTACATGTGCTTTGAAAATGTTTGATCAATTCAAATGTTTGAATGGGCAAGTTTACTGATACTACGGTTGCAGGTAATTGTTTCCTTCTGACTGTAATATTTATCTAATCTTTGCAGGCTCAGTAGAAATTGGGATAAAGAAGGGATTCTCACCCTCAGTTCCAAGTCACTCCATAGAGATTCATAGGGCTCTGTGCGCCTGCAACTGGGTGTTGTCATCCAAATGAGATTTACTTCCTGAATGTCTTTGCAAAAGAACTAGATAGAATGTTTACAATATTTTTTCTGAATTTGCCAAATGGACAAAAACAAGTCTGTTGCAGCAGAAACAACAAAAAAAGGTCTGGAGTGAACAGGTGGCCTTTTAAAAGCATGCTCAGTGAGTAGAGTTTTGTTTTGCCTTGCAGCGTGCTGCCTTGGGAGCAAATGTTACTAAAATTACTTTAGAATCTTTCCTGGCGTGGAAGAAAAGGAAAAGACAAGAAAAAATTAATAAGGCTGAGCAAGATATGGAAAGAAGGAAAGCAGACTTCAAGGCTGGCAAAGCATTGGTGGTAAGTGCCTCTCTTCAGTCGGGTGTGGTCTATAACAGGAGTATATAACAAGGCAGTGGCACATTCAGATGATATGCTCTACTTCTAAGTTCTCTGCTTCTCTTTAATGTTTTGTGCTCTTTTTTCTGTGGGCAGATCAGCGGACGTGAAGTGTTTGAGTTCCGACCAGAGTTGGTTGACGCAGATGATGAGGAAGCTGATGACACTCATTATATTCAAGGAACCGGTGAAGATGAGGTAAGGCAGCTACAAGAAGATTTTATATTATATTAGTCAGGCAAAGAATAACATCCCATGGTTCAAAAACCTTGTAAATATATATATTCATAATCAGGAAGGTGTCTTAGCCCCTCAATCTGTTCAGTGCCCGAATAAAAGCATGGATTAACTGGTGTCCAACTTTCCGTATGCCCTTTTGGAGATATCCAACCCCATGCTTATTTAAGTTCATTCTAGTATTTCTGTTTCCAGTTCTTGGGGGCAGTTGTAGAGGGGGGGAGGTGAGAGCCCTTTTGTAAGTGGCAAGGCCAGGTCATAGGTGAATGGTGCAGGCCGGATAAAAAGGCTTTGAGTCAGGTGATGGTTGTCTGCAAAGTCAGGTGCTCTTTTTTGTTATTATTTTTACCCTTCAATCTGCTGACCAGAGAGAGACCCCCATCAACTTCCTAAGGCATAAATGGGAAAGAAGGAAGGAGGGACTTCAGAAGGGAACTTGGTACAGTGTTCATTGATTTCTACTTGAAAAGGCAAGGCAGGGAGCCTCAACTGTTCTGTACTTGCTATCCTTCTTTTTCCTATCCCTGTTCCTGTTTTGTGCATCTGAAATTACTGGTGCTTTGGCCGCAGTAGAGACTTTGATGCTTTAATCAATGATTTTGCTACAGGACAGACAAGAAAGATTCATTTCTGAGGTAAAAATGTTCCTTTCTCAGCAACTCTTCTTTCTCTTCCCTTAGTTCTGATTACAATTTATGAGTGCCAAATTTGACAAGAGGGCTTTGTGGCTATGGTGCTCCATCCTTTTAATGCTTCTAGGCTATTTTTTGGAACTGGAAAGGCACAAATTCCACTGGTTCTGTTTGTTTTTATACCATCGTCTGAAGACAATCCACATCCATAATTGTAGCATCTTTTGTGAATGTCACATGCCAGGTGGACTCATATATGGACTCAGTAGATGCTTAAGGCTGCAATCATAAACCGTTATACATATGCAACCTATGCTACGTTGAATGCAGTGGGGTTTAATTTCTGGGTCACCATGCAAGAATTTTGCTGTCAACAAGATGAAGTTTGACTGATTAGAAAATGTTTTTTGTTTCTTTTTTAGGTTGATGAACAGGTATGTGTAAATGACGTGGACTTGAACCTGTATGTTCCAAAGGCTGTAGATGAGACTGGAATCACTGTAGCTAGCCTGGAACGATTTAGCACATACACTTCAGCTGAACAGGATGGTAAGATTTTGGAAAAGCTTGCTATTTGGTAAAGACTTGGTAGTCTGTAGATTTTGGAAGTTTTTATATCTAACATCTAAGTGCCAAAATATGACCCCTCCCAAATTTGCAGTTATTCTCTCATGGTTTTTCATTTTCCAGTATGGCACAGACTTTATAAAATGCTAGCTTGAATAGGTTGTACTTTTATTAAAACAGTATGCCATAGCAGCGGTCATTTGATTTTGTAAGATATATGGTGCTCAGGTAAACATAAATGTATCCATTATCGCATCTATCATGAGCCATCCAAATCAAGGCTTTATTCCACTTAATTCCAATAAAATATGAATTCTGTCAGTTATCAACATAAAAGTCAATTGAGTATTCTGATTAGGACAGTTGTCCCCCTGTGATCTTTCATGCTTTCTGAAATAGGGAAAATGAGGAGCAGTGTGAAAGTTGCCTGTGAATAGTGCTAGTCTAGCCCCTCTTTCAAATAGTTGATCCTGAATATAACAATGTATTATTATGTCTAATCTTTCTACCTCAAATGATCAAACTGTGGCTGTTCTGTGTGGCCATATATGAAGAAACAAGTCTGACTGGGAAAGACAGTAATGGTAGGAAAAGTTGAAGGCAGGAAAGAAAGAGGAAGACCGAACATGGCATTGATTGAATAAGGGAAACCACAGCCTTTAATTTGCAAGACTTGAGCAAGGCAGTTAACAACAGGACATTTTGGAGGTTAATTCATCAGTTCCACATAAGTCAGATGGAGCTTGCTAGTACTGAACATAGCAAAATTTCTACTGTTTTCTCAGATAATAGTTCTTACCTGTAAACTTAATCATCAAAAAGAGATAATAATAAAGAGAGAGAGAGAGGAAAGAGAAAAAGGAAAACAAGCAAACTCAGGCACCAGTTCTTTCCTTCCATCATTTCGAATTTTTCAAATTTGGACTGGAAATGAGAGCAGCAGCCACAGTTATTTCACATCACATAACCACAGAGACATCTGTAATGTCTCTTCTGTGTATAGAAAATCTAACAGGATACTGACTTTTGTTCTTAGGATAGCAAGCTAGTATTTAAGAGAAAGAAGAACTCAGTGGCAGCTACTCTGTTAAATGAGCCATAGCGAAGGATTAACTTCCTTTTGCATTGTTCAGGAAGAGGAATGCAAACTTCTACACCTTTAGGTGCACGTAGACTATAAGTTTACAGAGAGTGAAAGCACAGAGCATAATTAATGTTTCCATTACAAGCTGAAAAATGTAAAACACTATTTCAAGAAACTAGAAGAAGAAATAATTAGTAGAAGGCTTGAAATTTGTATTTGAAAATGAGCTTGATCCTGAGCAAATATACAGTGGTGCCTCGCTTAACGAGCGCACCGTACAACGACGAAATCGCATAGCGATCCCTTTTTTGGGACCGCTAATGCGATCGCTCAACGTTGTTTAGATAGGGCGAAACTCGCTTTGCGAAGATCGGCAAGCGTTTCGCTTACCGATCTTCGCAAAATGAAGCCCGACGATCAGCTGTTCGGCGGACAAAAGGGCCGCCGGAAGCCCCGAAATGGCCGCGCGCAGTGTTTTCGCGCCCCCGTTAAGCGAGGGGAGGGCGCGAAAATGGCTGCCAGCCATCCCGGAACATCGCTGAACGGTGAGTTTTCGGTCCATTTGGAATGCATTAAACGATGTTTAATGCGTTCCAATGGGTTTTTTTGATCCGTTCAGCGATTAACCCCACTATGCGAGGCACCACTGTACTTGCTAAAAAGCAAGCCTAAAAAACTCTGTGGCCTTTAGTTAAATGTGCCCTAGAGTGGAGTTGGTAAAACCTAAGTTCTGTGGAGCTTCCTGCCAATTAGAAGTGACCTGTCTTTTTGGTTTAAATCACAAGTGTTATTTCTTTGGCCATATTTATTTACACTTGAAGAGTGGTGGACTCTTTGAGGCTGTATCGAGAGTTTGGCAAATCAGAAGATCTTCTTGAAAAACAGCTGTCGGATCGCAAAAACTGTGACCAATGTTGTGACCCCTATTTCCGATTAGGAATGTTTTTGTCTCTTCATTGTATTCCAGGGTATTTCTCAGATTCATCAGATTCACTTTCAAGAGTTGCATAGTCAATATGTTTTAGTTCTGAATCAGCAGAGGAAAATGATGGGTGGCATGTTGAAATGGTGCCTAGTGAGAACTGTTTTCCCTTTCAGATAACAAACTGAGTGAAGCTTCAGGTGGTGGTTTGGAGAACGGAGAGCAAAATGACTTTCAAGCTGACAGTGATACAGAAGGCAGCCAACAAAACGGAATAATCGATGCAGTACCAGTTGATGAAAATCTTTTTACTGGTGAGGACTTGGAAGAGCTAGAAGAAGAATTAAACACACTTGATTTAGAGGAATGAACAAGCCAGTTCGTATAGGAATATAAATCTATTTGACAAAGTGAACAAAGGCTCCATCTGTTTTATCTAAAATTCTTAAATGGAGAGTTCTTGATTTCTCGTGTGATTCTGGAAAAACACTGCACAAAAATATTCCCCCTCCTGTTTTTTTTCTGATCTACTCTTAACCTGCTTCATAAAATAAACAACCCAGATAAGATGCTGAGAGGACTTCCCTGATATACAATGGCGTTGTAATGAAACTCCCACCACAAGTCTGACTCCTTTTCCAGGATGTGTGAAGGGGAATATTGCTACCAGGTCCATGAGGAAGTCAAAGTGAAGTCCTTCAGCAGAACTGCACTTGAAAGAAGTATGTTTGAATGGTTGGCAGTTGAACTGTGTACTGTAAAATGGAGGTGATAGCAGCTCGAAGCGGCCATGCTCTTACGAGTGCCGAAAAGATCTTGTAATCTAAAGCAAGCGAGTACTTCATGTAGAGATCTGTAAAATGACGTTCAAGAATGGGGCTCTAATTCTAAAATTTAAGCATAAGCCACAAAGGTGTAAATAAAGATGATCTGATTTCAAAAAAGCACTGGTTCTATTGAATGTGCATATTCTACACATAAGCAATAGTCCTAAAGAAAAGCCATTCTGCTGGTATGTATTAAAGGCCTCTAGCTTGTCCTTGTGTCAAAAGACGTGTTCCGCCTTCTTAAAAATGTGAAGTGTATGTAAAATGCCACCTGATGCAACTTTTATCATTTTGCTTTCCTTCCTGGTTTCATGCAGATCTGTGCATACAGAGTGTAAACTTTGTGATGTTTTGGAATTTTGCTTCAAATATGTGAAGAGCAGGGGTTTCTTACATTCTTTAGTTTCTAGAGGCAGTGGGATATGCTTTCAATTGCATATATGAATGAAGAATTCTTGTATTACGGTGGTATTTTAGATGGAGTGTGTGAACCAATTGGATCAAATTAAAAACTACTTTTTTCACTTGTTTTGTAGCAAGACAGACACATTCTAGGCAGAGTAAATTGCAGGAACAGAAAGAGCTCTCCCACACGTATCTTGGCTTTTCTGTAGCCTTAAATCTTTCATCTCCTTTAAAAAGTAGACTTGAGATGAAGTAGGATGCCAACTACTTCTCCTTGCCGCAAGTTTAAAATGTGATTGTTAACTTACCGGAATATTGTACTAATTGTTACATTATTCCTTGGCCAATGTACCTTTAATGAGGTGCAGTGAGCTCTACTCATGAGTATTTGCTACTGAAAGTGATTTTGGATCATTGCATTCATATTTGTGCTAAAATACATCAATAGCTTTTTATTTTAAGCTCAGTTCTAGCAAAGAAAAATACACGATGATACATGAGTTGCATTGAATCCTTTTAATTTGCTTAAAGGAGTGTGCAGTGAATCACATGGAGAAATAGTTCTTGGTGGCTTTAACATAGGAATCAATGTGAAAAGGCATTAGCATTTTGACTTGTTTTCACAGGTATATTATAAAATGTTCCCTTTCAGAAACAAAGTATTTTCTCACTGAATACTTCAGTTATATCAAACAGCACCTTACTACAGTAGTCTTGGTTGAGCAATGACCCTTTGTTACAGAGTACTTAAATTGAAGCATGTGAGAGGGCGTCAATCTCAGTAGATTAGGGGTCAGGGAACTTTTTGATCTTTTACCCCCCCCCAAAAAAAAATTTATATATGCCAACATTACCCTGCCCCCTCCCAGCACTGCCACTCTGCTCTCGCTGTCTGCAGCCAACCCCCCTCCCCACTTCTGCGCTCACCCGGGACCTGCGGCCGCCGCCCGAGCAACCAGTCTAGAGCCACCATGCCGCTGGGAAATCGCATCCTTGGCGAGGGAAGGTGGGCACCACAGGGCCAGCAGGTCCACTGGCCATGAGCTCAGGTGAGGCAGGGTGAGAAGGAGCCTCTCACCAGCGCACTGGGCAGGCAGATATGGGCAGGAAAGAAAGCCCCAGCCAGGGCTCCGCCAAGCAAAGAGTCCAGCCAGCCCGGTCCACCCCCCCTCCCCCCACTTTGGAGGCAAGGAGGGTAGGCAGGTGCCCTGTGCAGTACCTTGCCAGGGCTTGCTCTCCCCGCGATGGAATGCCCACCTACAAACAGTATCATTGGAAATAAAATGGCTGGGGGTAATGAGGATGGTCGCGCTGCCGCAACTGTCCTCATTACCCCCAGGATTTTCATTTTTACCCCATTTGGGGTAATTTACCCCTGTTCCCTGACCACTGCAGTAGATCATCAGTGTTTGATAATCCTCTAGATATGCTAAGGAAGCATTGATTTTCAAATTACTATCTAGCTTGTTAAACCTTGGCATTGTGCCACTGAGCATAGCCTGTACTGCACCGTCTGCAGGTATAGATTCACTGTGTACAGTATATAATTGACACAACAGATCTCTTTAATAGTGAACTCATGAGAAGCTTCTGAGGAGTGTTAGGATTTCCTGAAACACTGCTTGAAAAGCCCCAGGTAATAATGTCTCAGGAGAGATTTCCAGAACTATCATATAAGGGGACCAGAAAAGCCTTGTCTTGCGGGGGTGGGGGGTTTGAAGGTTGTTTCCTATAATTTGTTAATAACAGTGAGTAGATGACAGTATTATTATGCAGGGGGAGGATTTTGATGACATTTCACATTTTCTCTGCAACCTACATGTGAACCCATAAGCAAGTTCAAATTTGTTTGAGTAATCTGGCCTTTCTCACCAGATTGCTCATAAACATGTTCAAACCCACCCATAAACTAAAAATGTAGGTTGCAGAAAATAATAAGGCATGTTATAGAAATCCTCCCCCTAATTATAATTATAAGTAACCTTTTCAATTTCAAAGTTTCTGAGTTAGTAATCATTCTGAAATCTTCAGTCAGACATAAATCAGAATGCTGATAAATTGTGCTGTTATGAGATAAATGTTTTTTTAGATTAGTCCTGTGAAGTTTACAGGGACAGTGGGAGCCTCATGATTGATTGCAGATGTGAATGTAGGTCTCCCCAGTTTTAGCCTGACATAACTATTGTATCAGATACTACACTTCAAATACTTCTGGATTGTTGGGCCTGAAAAGGTTGTCACCCATAAAATGTAAGTCAAATGAATATGCTAAATCAGGTTCTGTTTAAAGCACTGGAAGATTTTCCAATTTTTTTTTTCAGGAAAAGCCACATTAATGGCTTTATATCCATTACCTTTCTATGTGCTAAAGCCAGAGAGAATATGTATATTGTTGTTCTTAGGGATGTTTCAAACCCAGTGGGAAATTTTTAACTTTAGTATTGTAGTTTTATAATTATTGGATGAGCCCCTGAAATGAACTCCCATGCTGAGGGAGCTGCAGTTTTTTTAATTACCCTCTAAATTTCTAGATTATTTAGCACACACACCCCCCGTACAGAATGTTGATAGATCCAAATTAGATTTTTGGCTTCCTGGCTTTCTACTTTTTAAAATTCTTACTCAATGAAGATGAAATGCAGTAGACTAAGCACCAGATTCCCTTTCCTTCAAATCTCTGTAGGTTGACATGGCAGTAACCTCATCTAACTTCAGCTGATCCTTCCAATTGTTACTCAGTGACTCAGTTGTTACCTGGTGAGTCAACACTTTATGGAAATCCCATTGATCCTTTGGACCTACTCCAGTTGGATTTAGGCCATAGTCTCCAGTCAGTGTTTTTCTGACTTTGGCCAGAGACGTTGCTTTATTCCCCCTTCCGCACATAAGAGGGAAAAGGGTGCCATCTGCTCTCCATTAGTACTTTTAGGAGCTGGCTCAGCCCCAAACTAAGATTCAGCCATCACATTGATGCATTGGTTGAGAGTGGGGCATTTATAAGTAGAGCTAAGCAAAGGTTCCTTTCTTCAAGGGAATCTTTGCCCTGTTTCTGATAGGTGTGTGGAACCCATCTTCATCCCAAAGAGAAGTATGAGTTTGGGGAGAAAGAGAGGTTGGCAATGGGCCTTGGGCAAGCTAGCTTCCAACCCTTTCTGAATTTGAGGTTCTCCTTTCCTGTTATTCATAAATTTACAGAATCCCTTCTTCCATTAAATAATAATAATAATAATGTGTCATCAAGTCAGTTATGGGGACCTTTTTCAGGATTTTCCAGATAGATACCTGTGCATCAGAGGATTGCTAGGTGTTCCTCCCACAATTAGCATAAGGCATTAGCATATGCTAATACCTGTGCACTAGAGGATTGTGGGAGGAACACCTAGCTAATACTAGCTGTTCCTCCCACAATTAGCATAAGGCATTAGCATATGCTAATACCTGTGCCCTATAGGATTGTGGGAGGAACACCTAGATGGGGATCCGGCACCCCAAATCATTGAGAAGCTCTCTTGGCCTCTGGCAGGACTGAGGCTGTGCAGCCCTGTACTGAGTGGGAGGTGCAGCCAGGCAGTCACCATGCCTTAGGGGGTCAGGGGACAGAAGGAGGTATGAGGTGCAAGGGCCATTCCAACTCATACCTTACAGGGGAAATACCATGTCCTAAAAGTGGTTTTCCTAGGGGGAGGCTCATCCATTGCACTTTGGGTATGCTACTGATTCTTGTGATTTCCCCAAATGTGAGGAACTCAACTGCATAATTTGTGTTAATGGAAGATTACATTTGTGATTTTCCCTGGCTTTTTTACAATCTCTTTACCCTTTGGTTACTGGGTATTTTCACCATCGTCTATCATTTACATTTGCAGCCATAGCCCCATTGGTGATGCTTTGCAAGATGGTTTTCCCCCCATTGAAATACATTAATTACATAAGACCTACTTTTTTATCCCAAAAAGTGGGGGAGAAAGTATATGCTGCTGTTTTTCTAGGAGGCAGACCCTGGAAAGCCAGCAGCACCCAAACATCATCCAGCGAAAATTGCCCATAGGAACAGTTGTTTTGCGAAGCGCAACATTGCTCAAAAAAAGTCATCATCTAGCAAATTCCTCGTTTTGCGAGGCAATAGTCTAGCGAGGCACCACTGTAGTTGGCAAGGCCACACAGGCTGACTCTACCTGCAGGAGGCACAGTGGGTGAATTGAACTCCAAACCTCTGGCTCTGCAGTCAGATACCTAAACCACTGAGCTATCTAGCTATCCAGTATTAAATTAGTACAGTACTTCCATCCACAGAGCTATAGCTATGTAGCTGAGTTTCAAGATCCCTGGGAGCAGGTGGCACAGACTGGAATAGAGAATGGTGCAGAATGCAGACTTTGAAGCTTGGAAAACACTGCTTCATTGTTGAAAAAGAGCCTTAATCCATTCAGAAGTAGGCCAGTACTGTTGGCATCTAAAGGAGCAACACTTGCCCTACATTTTCTTCTCTTGAAAAGCTGCGTAGCAAATAAAATCCAATTTCCATTCATGAAATAACTTACAGTATGCACTGCCTGGAATTGCTGTTATAGTGTATGAATGGGAATCCATAAAGGAGCAGTAGGGTGGCTTTTGATTAACCAAGATAATGTAGAATTCTTGTGTTGTGATACTGAAATCACATGACCGTAGCTTCTGCTAGACTAAGGCTGCAATTCTGTGTGTGCTTCCCAT